GTTCATCCTTGCAGGAGGGGGTGTTCCCAAAGCCTTTCAAGGAGACTTTGGTCCGCCCCCCTCCTCAAGAAACCATCACTAGATCCCACTCTTCTGGACAATTTTCATCCCGTCTCCCACCTTCCCTTTCTAGGAAAGGTGGTGGAAAAGGTGGTCGCGTGGCAGCTTCAGAGGATCCTGGAGGAAACAGACTATCTGGACCCCTAGGGTTCAGGCCCAGTTTTGGGACAGAAACAGCATTGGTAGCACTGTTGGATGATCTCTGGCGAGAGCGGGATGGGGGTAGTGCATCCATCCTTGCTCTTCTTCACCTCTCAGTGGCTTTCAGTACCATCAACCATGGTATCCTTTTGGGTTGGCTGCAGGAGTTGGGGCTGGGTGGCACAGTGTTGTGCTGGTTCAGCTCCTATCTCCAAGGCCAAACCCAGTCGGTGTTGATAGGGAGCGAGAGGTCCAACTCACGGCCCCTACTCTGTGGGGTGCCCCAGGCTTCAGTGCTTTCACCACTCCTATTTAACATCTACATGAAACCGCTGGATGAGATCATCCAGCACCATGGGATGAGGTATCTATCAGTATACCCAATTATACACCTCCATCCTGGGTGACCTAAGAGTTGCTGTGACTACCCTCTCACGGTGCCTGGAGGCTGTAGGGGCCTGGATGGAGACCAACAGGCTTCAACTGAACCCTGGTAAGAAGGAGTGGCTGTGGGTACAGGGAGCCTCAAGATCTAGGAGTTTATCATTTTTGGTTCTTGATGGGGTCGCATTACCCCAGACGGACCCAGTACGCAATCTGGGGGTCCTGGACTCATGACTCCTGTTTAAAGAGCAGGTGGCAGTCGTGGCTAGGAGGGCCTTTGCGCAACTTAGTGTGGGGCGGCAGTTACGCCCCTTCCTCGATTAGGAGGCCCTCCACACGATCACTCATGCCCTGGTCACCTCCCAGTTGGATTACTGTAACGCGCTCTACATGGGGTTACCCTTGAAGAGTATCCGGAAGCTACAGCTGGTGCAGAATACGGTGGTGTGGACAGTTCTGAATGTCCCTAGGAGGGCACATATAATAACACTGCTGTTACGCGAGCTGCGTTGGTTGCCAGTTTGCTTCCAGGTCCAATTCAAGGTGTTGGTCACCACCTTTAAAGCCCTTCATGGCACAGGGCCAGGTTATCTGAGGAGCCATCTCGCCCCGATTACTCCAGCCCGCCCTAATCAGTCCAGCAGAAGGGGCATTTTGCAAACCTCACCAGTCAAGGAATTTTGATTGCTGGGGTCTAGGCAGAGGGCCTTTTCTGCTGTGGCCCCCGCCCTATGGAACAATCTGCCTCC